TCAAATCAAACCAGTATAAAGTCTTATGTGATCAAATCTAAAGAGCCCAAAATTAATTCCAAATTTCTTAGACCTTCGCAAAATTCAGTGTTAAATCCCCAAATTGTCATGAAGTCTCTTAAATTCTAAATTTCATCAAAATATTCTTTACCAAATAGAGACTTAAACCCTGAATTTGGCCAAAAGCAACCTGATCTCACAAATTCCCCGAACTATATCCGCCAAATTGAGACATAAGTCCTCAAACCAAATTCTCAATTCTCAAATTCCTTGATTCCTCTCTATGAAATTAAAACAAATGGTTAAATTGGTTTAAATTTGGCTAAATTTCTGATTCTACAGTCCCTCAGAACATCTTCAACAAATTAAGAGACAAGTCTTCAAATTGGCTCAAGGTTGCTTATATTCATGATCTTAACTCTGATTTTTCCTATTAAATCCAGACAAAAGTCCTCTTCAAGCCAAACAGAGCCATTAAGTCTACAAGATAGCAACTCCAATCTACTCATAATATCTAATAGGAGGCAAATCATGACTAGTAGAGTAGGTTCATAAAATTTAGTAGGAATGATAGAAATGTGGAATTATGATTTGATTGGCTATCCATCCCCAATCACGCCTTAAATATAAAACTAAAATCAGCAACCACTAATCTAGGGCATAATAATATTTTTACCAAGAGTGTGCTCGAGTGTCACACTAAAGTTGTAATTAAACATAAGTATTTGTGCTCATTTGAAACCTCATCTCCTAGTGATCATGTAGAGAGATTCTTTGAGAAAGTGAAATATTCTACCCTCTGAAAACTATATGATGTTTGGCATTAAAACTCCCGGTAACTAAAAACTTTGATATTGTATTTATAATATCTCCAAGTACTCGATATTAGAAACTATCAAGACAATAATTAAACATCATTTTATGAAAAATGTTCTCCTTTGGGATGGGATGATACTTTTTTTCTCTTCACTTTGATATTCTTGAGACTAGGCCACAACATACTTGTAAGCAGTTTAAACTGATACCATTAAAATGTCTCTCATATTAGCTCCTTATGACCGTTATAATTCATCAAGAGAAATTGATGCCTTCCCAAGAGATGTAACAAAATAATCACAACTAAAACAAGCCCTCTGAATGAGGCCCCCATTAACTAGACCATCTTTTGATACCTATGATTCAAAACCTAAAACCATGAGTTTGGAGCTAAAAATCTGCTACTGCATGCCTATTACAAGCAGTAGAGAATACAACAATTCAATCTAGATGTCTTTATCAAGAAGGGGTTAAACATTTATTGTCAAAAAGAAAACATTTGAGAGGGTAACAGTAATTACTAAATAAATAAACAAAATAATAAATGAAAATATATTAATAAACTAATAAACAAAAGGCTCAACATCCTTGCAGTTATAACTTAAAGAGTCTCATCTCCCCATTTCAAACCAAGTGCAACGGAGAGAGAGGGAGACGGAGAAGAGAGTGTGAAAGGCTGAGTGCGAAGAAGAAGAGGAGGATTCAAGTGCTTTTCCTACCTAAGTTTTAGCAACACACGTAAAAGAAGTTGAACGACGCTTGCGTAGCCAAAAGGGAAGGTAAGGCTTTCGTGCAGGAGGAAGGAGCGGCTCATGCTTAGGTTTGACGTCATTCTGTGAGAATGAAGCCCAAGCTCTAGCCGTAGGTGAAGGAGAGGAGGCAAATTATACCTTGGGCTTTGACAAATTGTGTGAGTGTTTGCATAAAGAGGTTTGTCGCCGCTTGTGTAAGGGAAAAAAGGCGAGAGGATCGAATCCAGAGGAAGAGGAGGAAAAAGAGTTTGAAGGAAGAAGGAAGAGACAGCTTAGCGCGCTCCTTCTATGCCAAGGTGTGAAGAAAGAGGAGTCATGCCCCATCAGGGAGTTTAAAGCTCACGAGCATGGGTTTAAAGACAATGTTGGGTACATGGTAAGAATGATATTTAAGTTATCAAACTACGCAAATTTAGTTAATAATAATGTCATGATATTAATATTAAATTTTTATGAATATAAAATAGATATTATAAGTCAAAGGTTTTGGTAGAAGGAGCATGCCGCGTGCGGGCTTCATGCACGGAGGAGAGGAAATGGAAGCTTGCACACGTGGTTAAGACAGCTGAATAATTTTTTAGGTGGAATGGGTTATATCATAATTTAATTAGTGAATTTTTTTATAAATTTAAGTTTATACTTTAATTGTAAATTGTGTGTGCTTTTGAAATCAATATCGAGCTATTAAAGTCTCAAATTGAATGGAGATAAAGATCATTACTTATGCATGAGTGATCTACATAATCGAGGTGAGTGAAGAATTTTATCGGTTATTAAATTGTAAGGAAATTGAAAATATATTAATGGTTAATATTAGGTTTTCTTAAATCAGAAATCAATGACGGAAGAATACTCAAGTAGGAGGAGAAAGAAGAAAGACTAGAATGTAAAGTTTTCGCATATTTAATTAAATATATTAAGTTTTTAATTACTGCCAATAGGTTAAGTGAACAAAGAAGCTTTTAAAGAGGGTTTTGAAGATTAAGATATGTAATTACATTTCTAAATCTCATTAATTTGTTTTATTTCAAAATGTATTTTTGACTGCATGTATGTTCTAGCTCAGTTAAATTTAAATTACAATAAATTACAATAGATTCATCATATTGTTAGCAGGAAAGGGTTGCATGATAGAAAGGTAACATAATATATGCATGAAAGATGTGAATGAAATGCAAAATATGCATGATAGAAAATATATGCATGAAAAATATATATGATATGCAAAATATGCATGATAGAAAATATATGCATGATAAATAGTTGCACATTAGAGTAAATATGTATGTTTGTAGATGAATGAAAATGTCTCGGAAGAATGTATGTTATGAATAATGAAATAGTTTATTTACGAATGTTTGTATGTGCATGTTAAAAGGAGCAGATCACCTTCTAATGATACAGGCAGGGGACATTAGTGTACCCGCACGCATAATTGTTTTACTATCACCCCAAACAATTGTGATGTGATCACTAGCCGTTGTACCGACAGAATAAATCAGTCGGTAATGAGTAGAGATAGCTTACCAACCAAGACAATGTGATGTTTAAATCGCTAACAGCTATACCAATAGTATAATATCGACCAGGGGTTGGTAAGAATCTTTCCACCTCATATTATTTGTGATATTTAGATTATTAACCGCTGTGCCGACGGGATAATATCAGTAAAAGATGTGTTGGGTTATGTTTTAAGGGTGCTCTAAGGCAAATGTGAATGTTAAGAATATAAAATAAAATTGAAGTTAAAGTTATGGCATACTAGAAGTTTAAATTTTTCATTAAATAAATGTTATGAATATATTAGATTATTATATGATTTTCAAGAATGAAAAATGAATGATTAGCATGCATATTGTCTCATTTCTTTGGATTACTATAGTTCAGAAGTGTGATTGTTTTTGAGTTATTTTTTAATAATTCATTATGTTATTTTAAATATATTTTTCAAGTTTAAACTTTTGATTAAGATGAATACTAAAAGAGAAAATATTTACATAAAGTGTGATCAGCAACCTGAAAGGTAACTTTTTATTTGGTTAATTTAATTGAACTTTTTTAGTGGCTCTTTCATTTAATTTGTGGATAATAAATGTTAGTGATAGAAATAAAATAATAAAGAAAAAACTTAATTTTCCACCACTCGTTCGCATTTTAGCTAATTTTAAGCCCCAGGACATAACATGACAGTAAAAAAGTCATTAAATTTGTCGGAAAAAAAGAAGTGTTATTTATGGTGAATGGTATCAATATCTCTTAAGTGGTAGTTTATAAAACAATGTTTATCATTATGTGTTATATAATATAATGTGTAGAAAATTTTATGTGATCTTGCCCCCAAAACAATAATAGAAAAAACATCATTTCGGTACATCCCATGGTCACTACAGAGAAGATGCATCGAGGGAACCTCACAAGGTCGAATTGGAGTGAGAAAATGTATCAAAAAAAAGATTTTCTTGAGAGATCTAGTGATGAAGGTTAGGAAAAAATCAAGTTTGGGGAAGGGTGACATGTTGATTGGTGGATACAATATAAAACCAATAGAAATTTCAATTAAAAATTTGTCAAGGATTTCGTTACATAAAATTGAAGAATTTGCCATGAGAAATTGCAGCCTTCAAATAAAAAAAACAATTAAAATCAACCAGTAACTCCACCTTTCCTCTAGTGTATATTTTGTCTTAAATGTCTAACCCATATTGACCAAGTAATTCAGAACATTTTTATCTTGTATTAAACAAATAATAGTTAGAATGTCTCAACTGCCAATATGTTCCATGGTCTACTAGCATTTAATAAAAAAAATTAAATTTTAATAATAATCTAAAGCCTCAAAAATTCCAACCACTTTCCACGATTGCCATTGATGAGTCCCTAGACAGTATAGCTACATATATAAGCCACATACACCACCTAAAATATTGTTTCTATGCAATAAAAATAATGGTTTATTTCATCATCATTAACCTTATTCCAACTACTTCGGTTTAACTATATCAATCTTCACTATCCATTCATTCTTGTTAAGTAACACTTCAAAATATTAAACCTATTCTTTGCAAATCATTTTGAATAACTTCTATCCATCCTGTCTTAAGTCTACCCCATTCTTCTCCATCAACTAACACCATTTTTACAGCCTATCTAACAAGTGCATATTCTGCATGTAAATCTATATCCAATTATCTTCTAATAAATAGATGTCACTCCAACTCTTCTTCCCAGTTAAATTATTCCTTAATAAAAGGTGTGCATTTGATAGACTAGTAATGAAGAATGTCCGAGAGACAACACACCATGAAGAAAGTACAATCAATTTCTATAACCAAGAGCATAGTGTTTAATGTTTCAAAGACCGTATCAATTCAACAAATAAATGAATAAAAAACAAAAACAAAAAAAAAAAACAGTATTGTTCCGCGTTACTACCGACTGGGAGGCCATCCTGAGCAAACACTTAGCAATTGGCACCACACAAAACCTATTCAGAGAAAAAAAAAATACAGAAACTGAAAACAGGTTTCAAGAAGATAAACCAAAAGACAATACCAAATCATAGATTACAAAAGCCAGAAGGAATAGTCATTGGCTCACATTCCCCTTCCGCCAGCTAAAGCTTCTTCTGCGGGGTCTTTCCACTCATCAAACCTGTAAATATGGAAGAAAACAATCTTACATGTTCTCTACGGACTAGTTTAAAATGTTTTGAGTAAACGAAAGAGTGAGATAGGGTACACCCAGCCGTAGCGTCTGTCGAAAACTAGCCGCTTCTGCTTCTGCCGATCCGATCCAGGCAAGTGTAACCTAGGATCAGATACTCCATCCCCCATCCCGGCCATGTTTCCCGGTCCTTAGCCTGGTTTAGAAGCTATAGGTCTACGGAGGCACCAAAGGAAACGAGGATATTGAGATATAAAGAGGTAGATGCTGACTGCGAGCGCGATGATGAAAGGCGTTGGTATAAGTAGAGAAACCGAGGGAACCGAAACCGCTGGTCATAAAGTCGGCGGAGATATGTAGAGGCGGCTGGGCCTGCAGTCACTGGGCTTTTCTGAAAATTTTCCACGAGAGCAGACGCACAGCTAGTGTAGACTCGACTGTTATAACGGCCCATTTCATAAAATACTAAAATATGATTTTTTTATTGGGGTTATTGAATTCTAAATCGCAGAGCCGTGTAGTGTTATTGAGAGTTATTGTAGAATTATTAAATTTAATACACTTAAATAACCCCAATAACCCTGAGATAATATCAAATTTAATAGATTTGAATTGAATTTGATGTTATTTCGGGGTTATTGGGTATTATTTCGGTGTTATTGGGGTATTAACTCTAATAATACCGCAATAACCCCCTGGTAATCTCTGCAGTTCCACTTCAATAATCTAATGCAATAACTCCACGATAACCCCCAATAGCCTCCGCAGTTTCACTTTAATAACTCGTTGCAATAATCTCAAAGAATCTTCGTGGTTTCACTTCAATAACTCCCATAAAAAAATTTATGTTTTAAATATTTTATGAGATGGGCCCAGTATAGCACACATTACGGTATATTACTAAAGTCCACGTAACGTCTGCTCTCCGTATGGAAAATTTTTTCGAGTAGGATTGGGCTCGAGAGTGTAAACAAGCCCTAGTTCGAGACACTCTTGATTTGAATTTGAGCTTGAGCATGAGCTTGATTAATTTAGCTCAAGTTTAAGTTGACGAGTTCGAGTCGGTTCATTAGCCAACTTGTTTATTCTAAATGAGATAAAATAATATTAATTTAACATAATGTTATAATAAAATCATAAATAAAATTAACAATAAGAAAATAATAATAATAAATCACTTAATATAAAATATGTAATATTATTTTTTAAAAACATTATTAATACTTTAAAAATAATTTCTTCAAATTTAATATATTTTGAGTGTATTTTATATGGATATTTTTTAAACGAGCCGGCTCACGAGCTATGAGTTGAGTCAGGGCTAGCTTGAGCTTGGCTAAGCCTGCTCATCAAGCTCAGTTCATGAGCAACTTATCGAACCGAGCTCGAGTCGACTTAACTCGCTTACACCCCTACTAGGGATAAATTTCAGTCAATTATATTACTCAAAGATTTACAAACACGCCACTCCATTATTATGTATTATATCTAACCCCTACTTTTAAATTTCTATATATTTCCACATTATCTATGCATGAAAATTTATATTTCATTTTTGAAAGATTAAAACAGCCGTGTCTCATGTTAGAAATGTAATGTGCAAATTTTAGTTGTTAGATATATAAATACATAGGAATTGGGTGGGTTGTTTGTAAATGCAGCTATAAATTATTTACATGAATACCACTCAATTGTAACTAGATATCTAACAAGTAAACATTAATACTAACTAAGAATCTGTTTGGGGCAGCTTATGTGTTTCAGGATAAGTTGTTTATCCTGAAACGCGGCCCGCTCGCGTTTAGTGTAAAAACTCAAACACAGTTTCGGATAAGCTGATGATCTTTCATTTCACAACAAAATTACCACCACTTTAATTTTTAAAAATGAAACATACATATGAATTGAGTGGTATGCATTTAAATTTAGATGTTAGATATGTAAATACATACATACCACTTAATTTTTATGTATTTACATACCTAACACTTAAACTTCAATTTTTAGACATATGCAATATTACACATGCATGAAAATGTCTATTTCATTCTTTAAAAGTGGCAAAATTGATTTTTCTTATGTGATATGAAAAATTTGGGTGGTATAACTATATAAAAAAAAAATTTAGGTGTTAGATATGTGAAAACATAAGAATTGAGTGGTATGTATATAAATGTCTTAAAATAAATATTTAGAACATATGGCATTGAATAGATAATAGAATAATAAATGTGATGAAAAAACATGAAAATTTTAACTAAGATAATGTGGTAAACAAATTTATTCATTTATATTTTTCTATCACAACTTTTCCAATATACCAGAAAATATTTCGTCCAATTGTCCTAGATTCCAGGAGAAAATGTTACGTCAAGAGGACGAGCGTGCAGACGACAGTGTAGATCGCACCATGTTGTTGAATGCATGGCATGATGCGTCAACGCTGTCATCCACACATCTGATTTGTCGAACGTAATATTTTCTCCACTTTAAGACATCATTTATGAGAATCACCATCCAGAAACTTTGAACATTCCTTCCCCGTTGTATTCGCCAACTTTTTTGTAATGCGTTTATATCCTTCCTCTATCTTCTCTGAAGCAACTCTTCCAAGTGTCCTTCATTCCGGGCACCATTTATGAGAACCTCTTTTAGGGGTGAGCACTTGGTCTTTTCAGATGAATTGATTTTCAACTTACTCATATTGATTGTAATTAGAATTTCAAATTCAAAATATTGAATTAAATTTTATAAAATTGAACTGACCAAATCAAAATTTAATTGAATTTAAACTATTCAATTAAGAAATAATAAAAATTTAATAGTTTGTTGCAATTTGTTTATGAACAAACCTTATGAATTATAAATTTTAAATATATAATATCAATTTAATTTTATGAATCACTTATTTATTTCAATAAAATATTACATATATAATGTAAATTTAAATCTTTTCAATTTGTTCTATATGAAATTAAAATAGAATAAAAAATTTTAATTAAATTTCAATTTTTCGATTTGTTCCCTTAAATGAAAATAAAAAATGAACAAGTAATCAAAAATGAAATATTAAAGCTTTAAAAAATAAAAATTAAATTGGATTTTTGAAACTGAGCTGAATCAAACAAATTTATTTGATTTAGTTCAATTTTCTAATTTTGATCAAATAATACACACCATTTACTCCTTCAAAATGCTCAAAAATATCATCATCATATTCCACAGCTTTGGTCTTGTGCTTAGGGTCCGTTTGGGGGCGATTTCTTTAACTTCTAGATTTATATGTTGCTTTAATTACTGTGAAATAATTCTTAAGAATAGTGTAAACTTTTTTTAGTGAAGTTGTCGTTGTTTGCACAAAACTCGTACCACGCTTGTGTTGAATACTGCCTTCAAAATGACCCGAGTTGGGAAAGGCATGGACATACACCGCTTTCATGTTCAAAATAATATTATCATTATTATACTTGTAATTTTATTATTTTTTCTTTGCCTTTAGCATTTTTGATACTCACTGTTAAGTGAGTTTTGTATCTGAACTTTTATTCTGTTTTGAAATAAATTTTTACTTCTTAAGTATCAAATTTGTGGTTATCACAATTCTGATTTAGACAGTTTTATTAAACAATGACAGAATGGTCTTTTTTCCAGAAACAGTTGCCCCATAGCTATTTTCACGCAGCTGAAACAAACGGACAATCAGCTTCCCTACAGCAGCTTCTCCGCAGCAGCTTTCTGAGGCAGCGTAGCTGCAGCTGCCCCTAAGACTTTGGTTCTTCTCTTCCTTTTTATTGTGCCTGAGTATTATAAAGCGATGTTTACATACATACCACCCAATTTCTATATATTTACATATCTGAAACCAAAATTTTATATTTTTATATTTATACTACACAAATCTTTCACATCACATAAAAAATTCACCATTTTAACTTTTAAAAAGTTAAATACACATTTTGATGTTTGATTGAGATGTTATGTATGTAAAAGTTGAAGCATAGGCATTAGATACTTGAATACCGACTGAAAATGTCATTCTAGTTTAATGGATTGAAAGGCAACTGTCACTTTTAGCCAATAGAGTAATCGTGTAAAAGCTATCAAGTAAGAGCTGAAATTTCAGCTGATGAACTTAACCGCTAGAATTTTAGCTGCTAATTTATTGCTAAGTTAAGTCGTGTAATATCAAACCCGAGCGCCAAAAAATGCTCATTTTTTTGTCATCTTTTTGTTTTCACTCACGAAGATCTCTTGGTAATGAGTGGCCATGTACCTATGCTCGGCTATAGGGTTGTAAATGAGTCGAGTTTGAGCGAGCTCAGGATTGGCTCGTATTCGGCTCATTCGAAATAGCTCGTGTTCGAAATCGGCTCGTGAACAGTGTGTTCGTGTTCGGCTCAAGTTCGTGTTCGGCTCGAAATTGGCTCCTTAAACTAAAATTGAGAAAAATAGTTGTAAAGTGTGGGATTGGAACCTGGATCAAATATATACAAAAGAAGATACTAATCACATTGTCACATGAGGTGTTATGATTTAAACTTAGACATAAATATATATATAATATTATTATATAAATAATATATGTAATATATTGTTATATAAAAAGTTATATAAATTTTTTTACAAATTGTTATTCGTGTTCGACTCGTTTACATTTCGAGCATAAAAATTTGTTCGTGTTCGGCTCCTTTGGGTTTACCACAGCCGAAGACGAGCTGTTCACGAACAACGAGCCAAATTGACAGCCCTACTCAGCTACGACAAGGAAACAGAATATTCCCATCCTCCTCTCTCCCTTTAGGTCTCTTCCCATCCTTCCTCCCTCCCTCCCTTTAGGGTTCATCGCGCACCCCACCCCCTCCCTCTTGTTTATAGTTAGGGGGTAGGTCTACATACATACCGCTCAATTCTAATGTATTTACATATCTAATGCCTAAAATTGAATTCTCAATGACATGCCATACAATTTCAATTTATATTTTAGAATGCAACCCAATTCATATTTTTCTTTTGGTGTGATATTCAAGGTTTAGCGTGGTGATTGCAAATTTGAAAGTTTAGGTACGAGATGTGCAAATAAATAAGAAAGGTGTGCTATGTATATAAATGTTCCCTTCTTATTAGGGATAGAAACATTTGCATACATGCCACTCAATTGCTATGTATTTATACACTTTTGTGAGTTTGGCTGCTTTAGAATGCAAAAAATTACGTACCCAACATACAATTCTTCGATGTTTACATATCTCGCACCTTTTTTTTTTGTATGTGTGATTAGTGATATGCGTGTAAATATGAAAGTTTAGATGCGAGATATTGAAAGCTCATTTCTTATTTAGGGTTGTGAAAATTTAGATACATACAACTCAATTCCTATATATTTA